ATGCCCTCACAGTGGAAACCAAAGATTGAACCTTCTGTCCAGCTTCACCTCCTCCCCACCACTTCCCAGAACCTTCAGTTTTCTAGAAGGATGGCAGAAACATTGCAAATGGTGCTTCCCATCTCTGTAGCTATCCAGTGCAGATTTCAACAGGGTAACAGGGGCCAGGAGACTTCACTGAATATTCAGAAAACTCTGTGACATCCATCACACGTGAAAACCCATGAAAGCTTTAACTTAAGAGATTTCCTTAGTCTTGTGCACCATAGAGCAACTGAAGAGATAAATGATATTCATAAAAGCATAGCATATCCTTGATCAGACTTATTCATTTGTGTTTTTGCATTCATGGTTTGTGTAGGAATGGCAGGAAAAGATGACATTGTCAAGTATTCCTTCTGTCTTTATAAGGAAGCCTGATTAGGATCCCTCTACTCTAGAAATTACGTATTACATTCCATAATGAAATAAAAATTGAAAACTTCTTCTCTACAGAGCACAGTAATTTTTCCTTAGGCACCATATTTCTTTTCATAAGTTTTAAATGACCTTTCCCTCAGATCCTTCATTTTCTTGGATGGTAGGTGGAACTCTGATCACAGGAGTCACTGAAACCTTGAGTTTAAGTGTCCATGGAATTCTGAAATATGGGAGAGGCCTGTAGTTCTACCAGTATTACATAGTTCATTTTCAATCACTATAGCTGTAATTTATGCAGAATCAAACGATTTAACATAAGCTGGTATTTTCTCAACAAGTGAAGTGTTAGCCTGGAAGGGTAAGAATGTTATAAAATTACACATTCTAAACAAGCAGTTACAGATTCTGGTTTGAGAAGTGAAGATTGGAGTAAGAATTAGTTGTTTTTCTCACTCTAAGTCTCAAGACCAAGCTTATTTCATTGTCTCATTGTTACTTTTAATGTGATAAGGAATATATTCTCATGACACTAAAACACATGTCACAGAAGATTCATGACATAGTGGCTATCCTCAGTCTGAAAGGTCATCTCATGTCATAGAGGATGGTAGATGCATAAACTTTATACATAAACTGCATAAAGTTTCCATGTTATGACATGAAGAAAGGAAATCCCTGATGATATTTGGCAATAATGTTAGGAATGATTGACAAATTAACACAGGAATTTATATGGGAACATGAGAATCTACAAAGCATAAAATTATCTTGAGGAAAGGAAGATATTCATGTTACTCTATTTCAAAATTTATGTCAGCATGAGAGCATCAGAAAGTTGTGCTACTTGTGTAAAGACTGATCTGAAACAATTGAACATGTTGCTTCAAACAAATATTAATCTAACTTGTCAAGTGAAGTTATGAAAATATTACTGCTGTTCATTGGAACAGGATGGTATAGGTGATAGGGGAATATTTTGTTAAAAATTCCTTGAATTATTGAAATGACATTGTTGAACACCTGTAGAGCACTTTTCAAGTGTATGCAGCCTTAGAGACCAGTATCCAGAAGTATAAGGGAAAACAAACACAACAAAATTGGCAAGAACAACAAAACACACTTAAGCCTCCTAAAAATGATATTCCTTCTTTTTTAATTAAATTTCATTCAGGATTGTACAAACTTGTTTTAGGATATCTGTGCACTTTTACATAAAATTCTATCTTAACAAGAGACATTTTTATGGTGCAAGTATGTACCAGCCTGCAACATTGGAATATGCTTCTCATCCCTCCCCATTTTCAAAATGATGTCTTATCACTCTGATCTTTCTTGAGCCAGAGTCTTCATCAGTACTTAAAAGTTTTCTATCCATTGGTCCTTCACCTGTTTCTTGGCTATAATGAATTTCCAAGAACCTCTAATATACTCTGATATAGCCTCCATCTCCCTAACAAGAAGATAATTTTGATTTTTCTTTTCCTATCATCATGAACAGTTTTACAGACAGCTTACAAATAGTATTGTTTTTAAAAACTAACACACAATTGCTCAAAATAACTGAAACTACACACACACACACATACACACACACATACACAGTGGCTTGATACTTGAAGATAAATTATGTGGCACTGAAGAATATGTCTCCTATGAAACTTTGTCTCTTTTTTTTCTATTTTGAGATATATTGGTAGAATTATGATGGAACAGTAGAATTAAAATCAATTCATGCTGTGGATATTGCGCTGTATAAATATAATGCCGATTGGCCAGTAGCCAGGTAGGAAGTATAGGAGGGACAAACAGAGAGGAGAATTCTGGGAAGTGGAAGGCTGAGGCAGAGAGACACTACCTGCTGCTGCCATGACAAGCAAGACATAAGGTACTGGTAAGCCACGAGCCACGTGGCAACTTATAGACTAATAGAAATGGGTTAATTTAAGATATGAGAACAGCTAGCAAGTAGTCTGAGCCTTTAGGCCAAACAGTTTAAATAATATAAGCATCTGTGTGTTTATTTTATAACTGAGCTGTTGGACTTCCGGGACATGGTGGGACCCAGGGAGAAAACTCCAGCTACAAATTCATACCCACCTTAATCATACCCTTTCCTTTTTTTCTATTCTTGAAACAAAAATCAAATGAATAAAAAATACGTGAATATTTAAAAAAGAATAAGAACCACAAATACAGAGCCCATTAAAAACACAAAATCAAACACCATAATGCACAAGCCAACCACCAGCAAAACCAAAAAAACCGAGGCAAAGCAATAGTAGACAAAACTCTACAGAAATACATTGATTTTGCTTTGTGTTTTCCATCAACTGCTAGGCATGATTTGTAGCCTTAAATGTGGTTAAAATACCCAATGGGATGCCAGGGTGTAGCTGGAAGAGTTCTTGCTCAGCATGCACAAAACCCTGGGTTTTATGTTAACACTGCATAAACAGGAGTGATGCACACCTCTAATGCAAGCATTCAAGTGGTGGAAGCACAGGGATCAGGAGTACAAGATCATTCTTGGTACAACATAATTTCCAGGCCAGCCTGTGACATATGACTCTGTTTAAATAAAAAAGAAAGAAAGGAAGGAAGAAGAAATAAAACAAAATATTTAACAGACTTAAAATCAATTTCAGCTGAGTGTGGTGGCCAATGTTTTTTAATCCTCAGCACCAGAGAGGCAGAGTCAGGTGGATCTCCAAGAGTTTGAGGCCAGCCTGGTCTATAGAGAGAAGTGCAGGACAGCCAAGGCAACACAAAGAAACCCTTCTTGAAAAAACCAAACCGCCCAACCAAATAAAATAAATGTTAATATACCAGTCAAAGACTTATTGCATATTGTATGCAAACACAGCAACACAATTTCACAAACATCAAATTATTTAATTTTAAAATTATACCTTTATTGCTTATGTGTGCATTAACACACACACACACAGAGAGAGAGAGAGAGAGAGAGAGAGAGAGAGAGAGAGAGAGAGAGAGAAAGAGAGAGAGAGAGAAAGAGAGAGAGAGAGAGAGAGAGAGAGAGAGAGAGAGAGAGAGAGAGAGAGAGAGAGGAACACACACACATTTTATGTTTCATGTGTGGAGGTCAAAGGGTTCATTAAAATAGGCATTTCTCTCCTTCCATCACATGGATCCCTGGTATTAAATTCAAGTTGACTAAGTTAGCAGCAAGAACTTTTACTAGCTGACTATCTTTTATGGCCTTAAACAGTGATTTTTTTAAATAAATAATTATTTTTTTGTAAAAAAAAATACAGTTTAAATATATTTTTAGTTCATGCAATAAATAGCTTTTTTCATTCCTTTCCTCCAAATCATCCCACATAACCCTCCACTCTCTCCATTAAATTAATGAGCTCTTTTTTCCTACAGAAGTTACTGTATGTATATTTTTATACATACATATATTTATACAAAAACTTATTCCTATATATAACCTGTGCAGTCTGTATAATGTTACTTGTATGTATGTCTTCAGGGATGACCATTTGGCATTGCACAATGAGTTGATGTGCTTTTCCTGGGGAAGATCACTGCTCCTACTCCCAGGTATCCATAGTTGCCTATCCAATTTGGCAAATTCAGTGGTATCACCCTTGGTCAGCACTTTTTTTAGTCCTGAAATATATTTTGATTAAATTATTTTGATAATAAATGATATATATATATATATAATATTTGAAATATATTTTGATAAATATAATTTGGTATTAATTTTGATATTAATTAATTTTATCCTCCACAAAACTTCTAGATCCTCAACATCTCCCTAGCCATGTAATTTCACGTTTCTCTCCCTCTTTCCACAGTAGAAAAGAAAAAATTCCTGATATTTGAAACAATATAAATAAATCTAAAATGTGTAGAATAACACTTATTGAGAATATAATGTGGAAAATTCAGGCATAAATTATTGCACACAGCAATTCATGTAACAAAATTGGAGCATGAACAGTGATGATATCAAGGAGAAGTGGTTCCATGGCCTCTATATGGGGAACCAAGCATGCAAGCAGTGCTGATATGAGGATGGCATGTCCATGGGACAGTTTCTGATAGCTGCCTACCCCCAAGTGCCATGAGATGATTTGCCTTTTTGCTATATTGGCGAGAGTATGGTCTTTCTCATGGGTGTCATAGTGTGCCATTATGTTTAACAAATCTGAGAATCGAATGTTCTTAGGGACAATCCCATAGTGGATATCTGCGTATACATGATATTCAAAGTCATGTCTACAAATAAATAGGGTTCACCTTGTAAGTGTGGATATATCCTTAAAATGATTGATGAACTAAACTTTATATCACCATCCATAAAAGTAGGGCATAATGATTATGATTATATTCAAGTTGTGGAACCTGTTGAGTGGCCTTTTTCTTGGACAGTGAGATTTCTAGACATGCTGAGTTGTCTGTATAGAAATAATTTGCTCTGCAAGAGATGAGTTACTGTGAGTAAAAGACATGAATATGCATTCATCCTGTGATTTGGCAAAAGCATTTAAAAATGAAGGATGGGATTCAGTGTTGACTTATCTGTTTCTGTTTTTGTTTTTGAACAGGGTTTTACTATGTAGTCCTGTCTAAGTGGGGACACTGTAACTATTCAATTCAGGCTGGCCTCAAATGCAGAGAGATCTACCTTCCTGTCTGTTTGAATTCTGGGAATAAAGGTGTGTATTCGACCACAATGGGTCATTTTTAATAGCCTTAAGTATACAGGGAAAAGGGAATAACATTCTAATTTTACTAAAGTTCACATTCTTGGAGCCAAAGACTTGCAACCCATACAAAGAATCATATAGTGAAGAGGGTTACAGTGAGTTATAAATGGTAAAATATTTTACTCAGGTTTAAGTGTTACTATACAGAGAGGGAAAATTTATGATTCATTATACAGCCAGGGACCCTAATGATGGCCCAATAGAGGAAAGTAAAATAATTAGTGAACATTCTGCATCAGAATTGCTTAACTTGCCAAAATTTTTGTGTTGATATTGTTTTTATTGTTGTTTTGAGACAGGAAAACGTTATTTACATCTGGCTGGTCTGTAATTTGCAATGCAGACCAGGGTGGCCTAAAATTCAAGGAGATCAATTGGTCTGATTGGGAATCAATCTCGCCCAAGATCCAGCTATACCACTTTGGGCATATACCCAAGGAATGCCCATTCATACCACAAGGTCACTTGCTCAGCTATGTTCATATTAGCATTGTTTGTAATAGCCAGAACCTGGAAACAGCCTAGATGCCCTTCAACTGAAGAATGGATAAATAAATTGTGGTACATATACACAATGGAATACTACTCAGCAGAGAAAAACAATGACATCATGAGGTTTGCAAGCAAATGGATGGATCTAGAAAACATCATCCTGAGTGAGGTAACCCAGACTCAGAAAGACAAACATGGTATGTACTCACTCTTAAGAGGATACTAGATGTGGAACAAAGATGACTGGACTGCTACTCACAACACCAGGGAGGCTACCTGGAAAACATGACCCCAAGAAAGATACAGGGATCGTCCAATGATGGAGTAATGAAAGAGATCTATATGAACAGCCTGGATGTGAGTGGGGTTATTGAAGGACGAGGGTCGAGGGAAAGACAGCTTGGGGGAGCGGGAGATCCCAGATGGATCAACAACAGAGAGGGAGAACAAGGAATAGGAGACCATGGTAAATGAAGACCACATGAGAATAGGAAGAAGCAAAGTGCTAGAGAGGCCCACAGAAATCCACAAAAATGTCCCCAAAATAGACTACTCTCAATGGTTAACAGACTGCCCGAACTGACATACTCTGGTGATAGGATGGCCAAACACCCTAATTGCTGTGATAGAAACCCCATCCAATGACTGAGGGAACTGGATGCAGAGATCCACGGCTAGGCCCCGAATGGAGCTCCGGGAGTCCAATTAGCAACAAAGAGGAGGGTTTATATGAGCGAGAATTGTTGAGACCAAGGTTGGATAAAGCACAGGGACAAATAGCCAAACGAATCAAAACACATGAACTATGAACCAATGGCTGAGGAGCCTCCAACTTGATCAGGCCCTCTGAATGTGTGAGACAGTTGATTGGCTTCATCTGTTTGGGAGTCACCCAGACAGTGGTACAGGGTCCTATGCTCAGTGCATGAGATGGCTGTTTGAAGCCTGGGGCTTATGCAGGGAAGCTTGGCTCAGCCTGGGAGGAGGGGACTGGACCTGCCTGGACTGAGTCTACCAGGTTGATTTCAATCCTCTGGGGAGTCTTTGCCTGGAGGAGATGGGAATGGGGTGTGGACTGGGGGGAAATAGGGGGAGCGGGAGGGGGCAGAATAAGAGAAACCATGGCTGATATGTAGAATTCAATTATATAGGAAAATAAAATAAAAGAAAATTTAAAAAAATGTCACGGAGATCAATTGGTCTGGTTTAAGGCTTCTGTCCTCTAGCACACCATCATCACTGGACCAAACTCACCAAAACTCCTCTTGGATATGCTGTTGCACAGTGCCATGGAGACCCTATGGCTATCATTCTGTAGGACCAGTCCCTTCACATGCTCCATTAGGTCATAGATGAGGTAGATGTTAGGGTGGGCCAATCCAAGGCCTGGGATGTGGATGAGGTAGATGTTAGTGTGGGACAACCCAAGGCCTGGGTCATATCTGAGCTGGTTAGCCTTGGCTACTGGGACTGCCCCCTATATGTGAGGGGTAGCCCCGGTTCTCACATGCCCATGGTGAAGGGTGGAATCATATCTCCTGAGTGTGGGGGCCAGCATTCCCATGAAAGGTGGGGCCAACACTTCTGCTGTAGAACCTAGTCAAGGGCAGGGCAAGATATCTCAGGGTCAATAAATAATGGGGCTGTCTCACACCGCCCTCAGATTACAACACCCATAAATCCAATGAGTCCCTGTACTAATTCGGGCCATGGATATCAACACAGACTCCAATTAAAGCATGAACATGGACCCAGACATGGAGAGGTGTGAAAGAACTTGGAGGAATAGAAGGAAGGAAAATTGTTATCATGATATATTGTATTAGAAAAGAATCAATTATCATTAAAAGGAAAAAATATACAAAGATAATTTTGAAATGAAAAAAAAATACAGTTACAAAAAATAACCCAAACCTCCAACAAACAAACAAAAAAGGTACATATCCCTGTGGATTTCTCTGTCAGAGGGTGCCTAAAGACAAATTCACCATACCATTTGCATATTTTATAAACATGAAATAGATGACATATCAAAACCATGTATTTCTCAAAGCATTAGTCTATTGTCATATCAGGACAACATTTCAAAAAATGAATATGCCAATAAATAAAAAAAATACATAAAGACACCAAAGAATGTTCCCAACGTTCAAACTAGATCACCTGACAAGATTATGGAGAAAATTAATATTTTGTACCACTGTAGACTGTAGCTCTGTATGCAAAAGACACTCTGCCTTTTCTCACACTGGATATTCTCTTGACATACCCACTCCTCACTTGTGATCCTCAAGTGTAACACACAGACAGACATGAAGACCAGCACACACACACTTCAATTCACTCTGTCTACCACTCTAATTACAGTAACTTTGGAAGCCCCTTTCCTTTATTATAATTATCCTATCATGAGAAATCATACTTACTTGATCCTTCTAACCATTCATAACCTTACATTTGGAAACCACCACGGTCTGTGGTGTTGCCACTCTACTGTTAATGTGTATGTTAACTGTCAAGTATTTCATCCCTTCACATCCTTCATGGCATGGCAGACACCAAATTTAATTCCTATTCAGAATGGTGACTTTGTGCCATATCCCTGTACCAAACAAATATTCATTTCTGTTTGGTCAATAGCCTGTATTCCCACACAGCAACAATCCACAACACTTCCTGGGCTTTGAAATGTTAATGTTCACCCTGGAAGAGTACAGAGATAAAGTGGCAGGACTGATTGAGGGAACAAGAGGAGGGGTAGTGTGCGGCCAGGACAATACAGGGTAGAACAAGGAAAGGAAGGTCTTGATCTGATAGCTTTCTGATCTGATTCCTCAGAGCCAAAGACTATAGATCTATACAACAGTGTACTAATTTATACAGATTTGCAATAATTAATGAGCAAAGATGATGTCTGTCTATGAAACACACAACAGGGCCCAGAGGGAGCTGACCTTGGCTGCTGCATTGTCTTCCTGACCATTCCTCAGGTGGATGTGACAGGCATCTTTGACTCCCTCTCCTCTGAGCAGAACCTGCTGCTGCACTGACTTGACTCATCACATTCCCAACCCCCAGCCTGTGCTAGTGAGCCAGTAGCTCCCTGCAATCATGCATGTGTGCATGTTTGCCAGGCTGCAGGGTCTCAATAATCTTTTCTGAACCTAATGACATAAGGCAGGCATCCATGAGCTTTGAGCTTTCCTTTTGCTAGTCGGAAAAGGAGGGTCTTCATAAACACCTGTATAAACTGATCAGGATCAAATTCAAGATGTTTTTGTGGGCAATATGGACTACATAATCTTACTTTACATCCCACTTAAATCTGCTTAGGAAAGGCTGCTTAGGAAAAATTTAACCCAAACTAGAGAAGGTACAAAATGTTAGATACTTGAAGCATTGGCAGGAGAAATCACTAACAATTAAAAGATGGTATATTTAAAGCATTCTGCATTAGTTAGGTTTAACTTTTTTTCTTTCATTATTTTTATGGTTTTAAGTTGTTCATGGTAAAGTGAAATCCTTACCGTGGACATAATGATTGTTGTTTTCATAAAAGCCTTGGGTTACCATTCAATGATGAAATTTCTTTACTCACTTTTTGAAAAAATCCTTGTGGTGATGTAGATTTTATGTTAATTATTTATTTTTTGATTCAGTCCCACTGGCTAGAGCTTGCTGGTCTAGAGGTGCAGTTTGTAGACCAAGCTGGGGTTATATGCAAAGAGATCTACCAGCTTCTGCCTCTTGAGGGCTGAATATAAAGGTTGTGCCATCAGGATTAACTGGATTTTATTATTTTTAATTATGTATGTGTTCTCTCTCTCTCTGTCTCTCTCTCTGTCTCTGTCTCTGTCTCTGTCTCTCTCTCTCTCTCTCTCTCTCTCTCTCTGTGTGTGTGTGTGTGTGTGTGTGTGTGTGTGTGTGTGTGTGTGTGTGTGTGTGTGTGAATGGAGTGCAGTTACTCTGTATGCTCCCAGAGCTGAAGTTATTATGAGGTTCCTGACATGGGGCTGGGAACTGGACTCTAGTCCTTTTGCAGAGTATTAGTTGTTTTTAACAGATGAATCATCTCTTCAGCTCTCCTATTCACTTTTATGCCTTAGAGATTCAGATCACTTCTGAAAATGCAAACAAATAAAGGAAGAAAATCTAGATAAATATGTACACATTCCATTTTTTAAATAAATGTAACATGATATTGACCTAATACTACATGATCAAAAACTACATGGGAAAAAGAAATTCATAGGGAAATATTGAATGACCATTGAAATTGGAAAACCTGAACTGTGTACTAATAAATAATGAAAGGGAAAGATCGGCAAAAATAAAAATGTGTTTTTGAAAGGAAATTTATATTTTCCATCAGTAAAGTTGGCTACTCCAAATAGACATAAGGTACTCCTTTTGAAGTACTGTCCCTTTTAAGGTTTTCCACTCCAGTTTGAAGAGGAAGAGGAAAGAAGAACACAGGGATTCTTCGAGAGAATCTTTCATTGCTGATACATGAGTAAACAAAGCCCTAGTCTTTGCCTTATTCAGCTCCCTCCTCCATGTAGTCATTGTAGGGAGAGTGCCTTTAACAACCTCATTAAGTTGTGTCTGTGGAAATAGGGGAAAGAGACAAAGAGTAGCTGCTGTAGCAGCCAAGAAGAGCTGCCATTCTCCTAGGTAAGAGGTGCACAGCCTCTTACAATCTCCTCTTACAATAGGAAGGACAGCTGTCTCAACTCCTGTGCGCACATAACCTGCTTCCTGTCCCATGGCAGCATTTACAGGAGTTCTCCTGGTGTGACTGAATTTGATGCAATATAGGAATGAACAGATAAGGACGTTTATATCTTTACTCATGCAATACTGTGAGGAGGGGATGGCCACCCTCAAACCACCATGCTCTGGACAGTCAGTCCCTCTGCAGCTGGTGCCAAGTTTGAGAACTTTAAATTATGCTGAAAAGATACTCCTGTCATCTTGCATTGTCAATATACCTTTCAAATATTGATTCCTAACTTGAGAAAAGCCAGGGAAACTACAATGCAGTAGAGCTTTCTTGTTTTAAAATTTGAGAGGATGCCTGACAGCAAGTTTTCACTAAGACTTAGCTGTTCTGTTATTATTAAAGTAAGTGTTGCCTTCAATAGCAGTATCTGTCCAGGAAGCAGCTTTGTAGAACAGGATGGACTTGAATTTGTAGCATTCCACCTGCATCTGCCTCCTAATATTAAAAGTTATTCTATTATGACTAATCTGTTTTCCAGATTTTATACAGTAGTCAAGGATTAGCTAGAAGCTAGCAAAACAGAAAACCAAATGATTTTCCTTTGCATCTAGTCATATATTGTAGGTCAAGGTGGCATTAGGACTCTGAAAACACCTAATGAAATCCTTTTGTTTTAAAATAAAATAGTTTCAATTTTACAAGTTATGACTAATTGGGGATATATTTGTAAAATTGTCAGTATGTTGATTTTGGAGGCACTGTGTTGTAAGTTCCTGAATAGGACACAGAAAGTCAATTGTTTAGTGCAAACGCCTCTACTAAGGATCCCCATCTTGGCAAAAAAAAAATGTTCTAGAATATAGCAGCTTGGTTTTACAGTGTTTTTTCAAAGTATAATAAATTGTTTTCACACATATCTATGAAGTATAATTGAAACATGATTCTTTTTTGTTTGATGTTGTATTTTCTTTGAGACATGGTTTCTCTGGGTAGCCTCAGCTGTCCTGGTACTAGTTCTATAGACCAGGTTGGCCTTTAATTCAGAAAGATCCACCTACCTTTGCCTCTGGAGTGCTGGGATTTAAGGAATTTTCTAACACTGCATGTCTGGGAACTTTTTTTTAGCTTGTAAGTAAACATCTTAGTTACATTTTCTGTTTCTATTATAAAATACCCTACCCTTTAGATAGGAAGGGTTAAGTTTGGTTCACAGATCCCATCCTTGTGGAAAAAAGTCACAGAGGCAGAAACTTGAGGCTGGTGGTAAATTGTGATCAAGAA